AAAGGTTGTTTAGATAGGTTTCTCTCAACTTATCTTTCCGCAAACAATCTTGTAAAATCTGTATTGATCTTCTTTATCAATATATATTTTAAAATTGAAAATTGTGTTTGTATTCATCCCCCTCCCCTTCTACAACCTGTTTAGTATTCTTGTAGACCCTTTTGGGACCAACATGTTCTGTGTATATAAGGTAATTTGTTTCATAAATATTACATTATAGTTTGCTAATATTTTTTGTAGGTATTGGCGTGTTGCTCCCAATAGATGGAATTTTTTTGAAGTAAGACAAGGACTAGAAGGTTTTGTTGTCGAAATTCAATGTGGAACATTCACTTGCAGGAGTTGGCAAGTTTCTAGAATTCCTTGTCCGCATGTTGTTACAACCATATACTTCATTCATCAAGATCCATTTAAGTTTGTTTCTCCCTTCTTCTCAACAATAAAGTTCACTAACACAACAATCACAAGATCAACCCTTTGAATGGGATCAAACTTTGGCCAAGGACAGATTTTGCCCCCAACGTAGACGCATGCCCGGTAGGCCTACAATTATCAGAAGGAAAGATGCAAGTGAAGGAGGTAGTCACATTAGAAGAGATGCATACGGCCATGAAGTTGTAGCCAAATCAAGGCGAAAGATGACTTGCAGAAATTGTTTGGAGGTAATACACAATTTTAGGAGTTGTAAAAATCAAAAGAAAGATGCACCGATTCAGCCAAAAAACAATCCAGTTGGTAGGCTGAGAAAAAACAATACAAGAGAGGAGGATTTGTTATTGGAAGCCAAATAAGAGGAAGCAGTTCCAGGATACCGTTATAGGGATTCCCATTGTATTTGAATATATATATATATATATATATAGAGAGAGAGAGAGAGAGGGAGAGAGAGGACTAGGCATGGCAACGGGGCGGGGATGGGGCGGGTTTTGTAATCCCTGGCCCCGGTTTGTAGTAACGTCCCCTAGCCCCGGTCCCCGACGGGTACGGGGATTATCATCCCGTCCCCAGCCAACCCCCGGTCAAACCCCATAAATAGTATCATTTAGTTTGATTCTACCAGGGATCCCCAGCCCTGGTTTGAGTAACATCCCCCATCTCCGGTTTGAGTCTACCGGGGATCCCCGGCCCCGAGACCCGTTTTAGCGGGGAATCCCCGTCCCCGTTCGGGTCGGGTGAACCGCGTTCCCCACCGGGTCGGGACAAATCACCATCCCTAGAGAGGACGTTTCAAATGCATATTCCTCACATTTGTACAACCAATGCAACCTAATCAATTGAGATATTTATGAAAATGATGAGAATTCATTTATTATGATTTGAATATTTATGGAAGATGACTAAGATTCATTAATTATGATCAATACTTTATATTATGAAACAATCAAAACTTTTATAAAATCGCATATTTATCAAATTAAACGGACGGTTGAGATTGAGTTTTATTAGTTGTACAAATATAAAGGGTTGCATAATAACTCAGTCTCACTCTTAAATGACGATTTTGAAAGTTTGTTTCCCAAAATAGAAATTAAACAAAAATTGGTTTATTTTAATACAATTTTCCTTTACAATATTGTCACTTGTCCGTTTTTAATAAAACCAGTTCACAAGTACAAAATAGGTCAAGGAAAACCAATTTATTGAATAGAAACATTTTATAAATTAAATTAAATACTTTATTTAACTACGTTTTAACTTTATTATGATTATTTAATTAAAAAACTATTTGATATTAAGTTAATAGTAAATAATATTTAATTATTACTTGATTAAAATATAATCACTTAAAAAAACTGGTAACAAATTTTTGTAGTGGATATAATTTTTAGATAATCTTGAAATCTTGACAATTTGTTAGGAAGAAACATACTTTTATTTGAGTCAAAAGTCAATCAATTGGCATATTGGAAATATATTAAGGAAATGCCTTGAAGAGAAATTTTATAGGGAATGGTTGAATTGCATTCATTTAATCTGACCTCTTTCAAATGGTTTTCAAAATGAGTTTCAAAAGCAAGAAATATGAACTCTGGAATGTTTAAAAATTAAGCCAAGAACCAGAGATACTCAAGTTGGATCCACTTTCCTTCCTATATATACATGTCTTAATGGTATCTACTGGCTATGATTCAAATGAACACTTGACAAATTATACACTTTCATCACCCCTATGTTACATGAAACTGATCTAGCACAGCAACCTACATTACCATTAGAAAACACAACAGCTATCGGAAGCTCGAAAATGGTCAAGACCGAGATGCTTTTCACAAGAAGCTAGTACCGAGAGAGAGGTCATTCAAATTTGAAATGATCTGTGAACGAGTCGTCCCAATCTGGTTAGCGATTTCAAGCTGATGTTCGAAGGGAAGCATATCGTAACTGCACAAAGAACATAAACGTGTAAGGTGCCAAAGAAGTAGTTGGCTATACATCTGACACTTCAATGGAGTGTCCATAGCCGTAAGATGCAGCAAAATTAGCTGGGGTCTTCTAGGAAACCCGGATTTACTTAGTTAGTCGAGACTTGAGGAAGGCAAGCCCTTCTATCTGACTTTGGCTTCTCAATTGCATATACCAAAAGACTCTGTCAAAAGAATTGCTACCATTCTCTTGAGACAGAGGTAAGGTCTACGTATATCTAACTCCGACCCTACCTCTAGGTGGGATAGATGGGCTTTGTTTTTTATATGATGCGGCCAGTTATGAAGAAACAGATTGAGATAGCGAGTCCTGTATATGATCAGCAAGCTACAATGAGACCGTAAAATTTACTATCTCCGACCCAAAAAAAAGTATAACATTTGGGCTCATAGTTTAATAAAAATGTTTGATTATTGATCGAAATGTCTAAATGCGTCTTGACAAGGAAGAATGACTTGAGAACCAAAATCAAGGTTAACAATTGCAAGTAATAGTTGCTAATAGACAAAAAAAAGTATATTCGAGTTTGAAAACATCCCAAAAGAAAAAACATGATCTGGTTTTTTGGAACAACGTACAATAGAAAATATTGTAGTTTTTTGAAGTAAAGGAGCAAAAATAAGGTAAAAACATTCATTAGGGTAGTGTCAAAAGACAACAGACCAAGGCACACACTCGATCAATTTTCTGTCGTCAATAAATTTGCAATGTGCTAAAACACGTATGGAGCATGCATATTTTCAGCAATATAGCAATCAGAAGGCATAAACGAGCATTGAGCATGTAAACAGCATTTGTATCTTGGATACCTTTAATTTGTATCTCCTAACATGAGGGACGTGAAAACATATATGCAAGAAAGACAATCAGGCCCATTAAGGCTATGTTCGGCAAACTAGCTTATAAGCTCGTTGTTGGCCAATAAGCTAGCTGTTAGATAAAAAGCTAATTGTTGGCCAATAAGCTAGATATTATAGTCGATAAACTAGTCATGTTTGGTAAAAACTAGCTTATAAGCTAAGATGACAAAGTAAATTGACCTAAATAAGATGTTGAAAATTTAATTATATTGAAAAAACACAAGGAGCATAATTGAAAAAAAAAATGGGAAGATTCCCCTAGACTAGTTGAAACGCTGCTAGCTAGTTTTTCAAGGAAGAAGAACATAAAGAAACTTACTGGCCTAGCAGCTCGCAGTCAACAATGCTGTCAGGTCCAGGCCGGTGAGCCTTTCCGTTTGAATGAAACTGGCGGAAAGATCTGGGATTCAACCCAGCAACATGAGAAACAGCGTCAACAAGTTTTTTCTGCAGCGACTGAAGTCTGCGAAATGTTAGTTCATCAAGAGGTGCAATACACCCAATGCTGCCGTCCAAGGTACCAAACAGAAGGGCAAAACGGTTTGTCTTATCAGATCCTGGAGTAGCATTGGTGCGATCAGAAGCTGGAAGCATCTGCAACCGTAAAAATTTAGTCACATGCGCCCCAACATGAAACTCAGCCCTTGAAAGAAGTTTCTGCCCTTTCCAACTCTCAGACACCTTTGGTGCATAATAAAATATCTGCAAGACAAATACATACTAGTCAGATAAAAAGCAACACACCAAGCTCTAAATATACAAATGGTCATGAGACTATTCTGAGCCCAAAAGACCAAGAACAACATACAGAGGAGATCACAACTGATGATGCCGATTATTTTCCATCAACATTTAATAAATTGTGAATCAAAGACAAAGCGACACACCGAGCTTTTAAATATACAAATGATCATGGTATTTTCAGCTACAATGTACACTATGAATAGCAATGGCAATAGAGTTGAATCCTAAACATGACATAGATGATTATAAGACAGCATGCAGAAAGAGGTGCTAACCTGTACATTCTTTTGGTCATCCGAGACCATGAGACTGAGAGTGCTTCCATCGATCAAAAACTCTGTTGCAAAACAATCCAGGGAACCAAAATCCTTGGCCAATAAAGTCAGTTGAGATCCCTGTTCTTTCCAACTTAGGAAATATATGCTTTTGTGGATATCCCCTAGCAGAATAAAATTCTTAACCTAAAAAAAGGAAGCATCAAGAAAACACATTAGAATAGAACAAGCACGCAAAAGATAAGGAATAATACTAATACAAACTAGGCAGTATCAAATTAAATAGTAAATAGCACGTATTAGCTCCTACTTATCGTCTCAATACTGCATCTAATGCTGAAAGCAACCGATTGAGCATAGAATTGAGATTGACATGTCATGAAAACAAATATTCAATTTATGACCTCTAAACATTTTGATTTATATCGTAAGGGGATCACCAAAAGCTGATTCATAAAATAAAAGAAAAAAGTTGTATGTTCACATTCAACAAAAGAAATTAACAAAATGTTAAATGGTCTGATTATAGCAAAAACTCTGAAGTGAACATATAGACTTCTCGCAGACAAGTATTCTTTAACACCACCACTTTCTAAAAGATGATTGCCACTCAGCATTCTCATTCAATGCTCTATCAATGCTGTGATAGGTCCAATGTTACATCAGACTCCCAAGCGCACCAAGACAGTGAGTCAAAATAATGCCAAGTATTCCACTCATAATTTACATTGTGATGGTTCCTATATTTGTACTTTTGTAACAATATTTTTTAGTGTCCTTATCAGGCCAACCAATTAATGTGATAAGGATTACATGTAATATAAGTCACTTGATCTGATGGTGGAAGTATAAACCTGCTAAAAAGATTGAATAACAAAACTAAGAACTCTCTAGGCAAGGCATGTGATTCACTTAATATCATTTAAGCAGCAATAGGCTATAAAAATCATGATTCTTGCACCAAGAAATTACGTTAATGGTCTATCTAAAAGACGACAAAGTAAAAAGGCAATTCAAAAGACAATGGAAGATGTAAAAGATCACTTACAATATTTAAGCTGACAACATAAAGTGGTGGAGCATCAAAAAAGGCAACACCACTCAACTCAGAACCAGTCCACTTGTGTAGGATAACTTTTGGGCCTGAAGCTACTAACAGGTAACCCTGGATTGAAGCTAGAGCTGATATAGCACCTTTCATTTCCTTTGAATAGACCTCTGAAACCTAAAAACGAAAAAACAAGCATAACAATGTCAAAATCTAGCAAGCAGCTTACACAATTGCCCACACCAATCTTTGAATAGAAAATGAAAGAGTGTCAGCATAATAAATAGCTAATCAAGTTACCGCTGCCTGTGAAGTTTCAGAGCTACTGTCAACAGAAAACAAAAGAACACGCCCTCTTGCAGCTACATCCTCCCCTTGCACATAAGCGGTCCCAATTGCCAAAAGTGTATCATTTTCTCTGGTTGTTGTATTCTAGCTCAGGAACAACAATTTCCAAATAATTAACAATGAATATAACATTAACAAATATAAGACATCAGCAATCGTAAAATAAATAAGCAACTCACTGGCTCAAACTTACAGATAAAGTAACCACTCGCACAGTTAAAGCATTCTCAGAACTTTGCATCCGAATTGTTCCTTTAGTTTGCCATTGGCCACCAGAATTTTCTGGTCCCAAAATTCGGACCTCAAATTCTTCCACAGTATAAGTACCATCAAGATTTAAATTATCATGCTCAATTTGGTGGCCACCTTCTTGATCAACCATAGATGATAGAACTTGATTTACAGGCTTTAGGACCTGCAGAGAACCAAGAAATAGGCATTTGAGCTTGATACAATAATATGAATTTGAAGAATGTGTGATCTTCGCACAAAATAATCCAACTGTTAATATGTTCTAAAAGATTATCCCTTTGTAGGACAAAACCCAAAGACTGCATGCCCAAATGTATCCAAGTATGCACCCAATATTTTTTTAAAGTATCTAATATTTATATACAGCAAATTAAAATCACACTCACTTCTCACCTTTGGTGAGACTTGAACCCCTGACCTTCAGGAAGGTGGGGTTGCCGGGTACTTCCTTGCATCAACTGGAGTCTTCAGGACATATACTTCCTTATATAATACAAGTGAACATCAAAGAAGCTTGAATCTAGGGCCGAATGAGACCAAAAAAAGAATATCACTCACCCTCACTTGTGTATAACAAATCCCTTCATTTACATAACCCCAGTTAAGCTCATACGCAGACATAGAAAAAACGAGCGAGCAACAGCATTGTAAAAAATTACACATTGAAGGAACACAAAAAATAAACCCTTCATGGCTTCATATCTGAAATACTATATTTAATCTAAAGAGGGCACAGGGGTTCACAATAATTGTCTTGCAACAACGAAGACCCAGAAGGGAAAAATTAGAAGAAAACAAAAAAGAGGCTTTGCCAGCACATATCATGGAGGGACTAATGACATAACTGAAATATGATAAGCTAAAGAAACAGATCATGATAAAAAGTGCAGCTAAATACAAAATGAGAGAGTTGAGTATGATCGTATCCAACCATAATCAGATGCAAGTTCTATTGATGTAAACGTTGTGAATACAGACTCCTAATTATAAAATATGAACTCAATGGTTCGAGCAGAGCAAATTATATTAATGGTCAGCCAAAAGCAGAAGAGAGTTGAGAATCCACTCACAGGAACAGAAACAATAAGCGGGTATAAGTTCTTCTCAGCAAAGTATGTTACTTGATGCGGAGTAGCCTTCAAGGGAATCTGTCCAACCACAAAAAAAAAATTCAACTGTTTACAAGTTGATCAAAACATTTGACTTGATCGCAATACAGTAATAGCATAAATCAAAATAGTTGTTACAAACTGATGAAGACCTTTTGTACGGGCCAATAATTATCATAGGATAGCAAAGATGGCAGTTGACAGATCTTCAATGTACCCTATTAATAAAAAAATTCATGCATTATTTACATTAGTTGTAAGAAGGAATTCAGAAGAAGAAAAGGTTGGCTTTCTGACCTGTGAGGTAACATATATGAAACCATGGTTACAGTACATGTTATGTAGAACTGTGAAGGCAATAATTGGTCCATCACAAAGCTGTAAATGAAAAATGGAACATTGTGAGAAGGACTAGAATGTGTAATCCCAATGCATAATATTTTCATCGAATATCATTCGTCCAGGACAGTGTTTGCTGCAGCACTTCTTTAGGATCCTTTCCTGACAATATAGATAAAGCAAGATATGCATGGCTATTGGTGTTAATTGGTCCATAAATCGGCTGGTAAAAGGTGAAACACTAATAGGACTAAATTGTATAATGGAACTAATAAAAAAAAATTATTGAATGCATGTGCCAAGGACAGGTTTTTGATACAGAATTTTTCAGTTTCATTCTTCTATGACCCAAACATATAAATGCCAGAAATATATGGATGTTGCCAAATGGGTATAAAAGACTCTGGAAGATAACATGTAGCAAGTTAAAAATTCCACTTGAGCACCTGACAATTAGCAGGTACAACTTTTAAGAGTAGCTGATATTTAGGGTTAGCCTAATGTTAATTCAAACAAAATGATGATACAAATCTTATATCGTTGGTCGAACATGAAGCCGGAGGTATCAATTGTGTTGCAGTTACAGAAGAAATTAGGTAATAGTGGCCCTCTAAGCTGGATGTGTATAACTTTGAACCACATCCAACAACCAGATCAGGGATACGCAAGTACGCAACAACTAACTACGTCCTTCCACATTCGAATTGATAGGAGAATAATAGATGATTTCCATCCTAGAAGAGCTCCAAGCTCTTTAAAAACCACAATTGCACATAAGCCCGAAGCATAAAAAGAAAAGAATGAATCCTAATTTCTAGACAGCATTTAAATGATTATTTCATCACCATATTCAGTTGGCACAATCTCTAATATGCAATCTAGCACACCGCCTGTTCTATGTGTGCTTACCTTACATATACTAGGTGCTAGTAATTGTCCCTTCTACATGTTTGATCACACTTTTATGTAAGTCGGGGGTTTTTATGAAAACAGCTGATGTACTCTTTGAGTAGAGGACAGGTCTGCATATGTCTCCCCCACCCCCAACACCCTACTTTCGAGTGGGATTTACTAAGTCAGTTGGTTGGTTGGTTGGTTGGTTGGTTGGTTGGTTGGTTGGTTGGTTTAGGATACTTCTATTGGCATATTGTAAGAAACTTTTTTTTTTTTGTAAGGGTGTCCGGGCCAAAGCCCGACTAATCCCCGGCAAATTTGGAGGCTAAACATGGCCCCACTTAAATGTCGCCAACACTCCCCTCCCAGGGCTAGAACTCGGGTTCATGACTATGCCATGCCCAAGCCTTTACCACTAGGCTGGAAGGTCTTTGACTTGTAAGAAACTTTAGGTCCACAAGAACTAAAAAGTGCAAAATTATGACATGCAACCAGTTGTCTTTTAGCCTATTTTGGATGAGTGACCTAGTTACTTCAAACAATAAATCATCAACTCAATAAAGAGAAACATAAGTGCAGTCCAGTAACAAAGAAATGACTCTGAACTGAGAGGGTAACCTGCGGATGAATTCGAAGCCGCTCCCTGAATTTCATGAACCAGGTAGGCCTTGAACCAGAAAGGAAGAAACCAGGGTAACCACCAACATTCTTGAACATTGTCATTCGTGGAAATGGGGTTTCTGCTGATATCTCTTCTCTTGTGTATGTATCCAAAGGAACACGGGAGAACCTCAAATTTTTAAGCCTTGAAGAACTTGCCCCGCTTGGGTTTGAAGAACTTGCCCCGCTTGGGTTTGAAGAACTTTGAATAGAAACAACTTCACATTTAGAAGCATTTTCTATTCCTTCATACAAGTAAGCATGATAACAAAGAATGGTCCCATCAGCCAAGATTCCAAAAAGGAAAGGGCGGGTATTCTCTCCTGGCCACCTATGCATGGCCAATTCCACAACCTTCAAGTTCTGATTATTATCCTTCCTACCATGCCCAGCCCCTTCATTACTTTTAGATAATTTTTGAGAATCATCAGAAGATTCCTGGAATAAATCATCTCCAAGATAGATCCGTCCTGACACAAAGCTGTCCACCGAAAAAACACAAGAGAAATTCGGCACATCATATATTTCAAGGGTGCCACTCTCATAACAAATTACACAGTATATATCACCCTGATCATGAGGTGTACCATCAGGTCCTTCAATTGCCTCACTAACACCTGTCAAGAGCCAAGCATCGGTACTTGTCGTTCTGAGCCATGGCTCTGTTCCTCTATCATGATAAAGGGTACAGGCAGTTATCGATTTCTTAGAGCTCTGAAATACCGCCAAATTGTTGATGCTCATGGTGCATGTGGAGGGATCTGTGAGTATTAAGAGCAAAACTGATAAGAAGAGAGACTTCACCTTACTTGAATAACATTCAAGAAGTCCACAAAATACATAGAGGTTGCATAAATCCAAAAAGAAGTAATAATAGTAAGATGGTAAGAACATTGATATATCAATGTTATGGAAAACAAAGACGGTCCCATCTTCCAATTGTTTGTCAATTAATATGTGTCACATACAAACATTCAACTCACGTCCCCCAAAAGAATACAATGACGAAAGAATTCAAGGGAAATGTTGCCTATAATATATACTTCTCCTTGACCTTTGCAAAGCCAAGGAGCCCTAGTGCACATGGTTCTCCTTTAAGGTCAATAACGACTAGCATACAACCCCCCCCATCCCCCACATCTTTTATTATTTAAAGGGATACAACAATTTGCTGAAAATAGAAGGTATATCATTTGCAATATACAATTACTATGAAGCATTGATACATACCTGTACAACCACAAATGCTTAAGTAGTTCAACTAAGATCTTACCTCAAACTAGTGGAATTTTACTATAAATAGATGGTCTATAGGTGGGAAATTCGGGAGGACAGGTTGGTTACATAACAAGTCAAATTACTTAATTTACATGTCGGTTCTATTCACTATAAAATATTAACCCAAATAGACCCATATTCACATAAATGGGTTGATTGGCACCTGCAAAATTAAAAAAGAATCCAATTACCAGGGTTCATCTACTTAATCCAACAAGAACACTTCCATACACACAATGACAACATCAAAGGACTGTCTGGACAGCAATTCTTCATACCAAAGTATTTACGGTAGACTATAAAAGTACCCAAAGAAATTTTCACAAGTAGTGCAACCCCCAAGGTCATGGCCTCATGGTACATTTAAGGCGTCCTTCAATGCACTCCTACTAGCCAGCTCTGTTAGCATACTCAGCTCACTCGATCTTGGACAAGATACCAAGCTTTCAGTTCCCTAAACAACCTACATCATGAATACCGAACTATCTTGTTCAAAGTATGACCAAACTATCTCCTCCCCTGCCAACTCATTTTTCCTTTGCTTTTCCCAATACTTTCAGTTAAAACCTAATCAATTATTTTTTGAGTAGATATCCATAGCATTGACACAAAACATGAAGCCATATAAATCAATCTGTATAAATAGTGGACCAAGAACAGTAAAAGAACTCAGCCAACATAGATGTACCTCCAACAAGAAGTTGAATACTTCCATCAGTCATCCTCAATAAGACATATGGATCAGCAATTGAGACAGATGATACTGCTGAACTCTGAGAATTCATAGCAGCTTCAGAATTCGTAGCTCGGAAGTTTAGATCTTGAGTCATGAAAGCGCCATCAAGAATCCGAGCACCACGAGAGTACACTTGTATTACCCGCCTCCTAATGGAAATGCAACAAACTTGTAAAAAGTAGTCCTACTAAACGTGAATCAAAGAAGATAACAAGCAAATATTTCAATGTTGTGTCAACAAGTAGAAAACAGATTATCACATATGAACTAGTAAAACACCAAAGTGAAACGACAGATAAAGTACACATACAGCAATAATATTAATATCAATGAGAGTTCATTGACATACAGTAAAATATGATGTCACAGTTCTTAATATCATAATGACAGAAGGAAAAGCTGGAGCAAATACAATCCTTGAAGAATTGAATATTAAAGAACTGAATTCTTCGACCAATGTTGGTAATGACGATGGCTGAAAGAAGATTATTCATAGTCAGCTGTAAATTAAAGCATTGGGTCCCTGTTTTAATGTGTGATGTTATATGTAACTAAAAGACCTTTTTTCTTCGGAAAGTTAACAGATTGTGAACATATTATTCAAATAATATTTCACCTTCCAAAAAGATTCCCAGCATAAATGGTACTTCCTTGAACAAAGTAATCCACATTCTCAGTGACCTCCTCAAGATTACTAACTGTCTGTAGCACCTGCAAACATAATAGAAAAAAAGTCGGCCTTCAGAAAAAATGTTCACGTGTTAAACATGTGAACAATCCAAAAAACAAAAACAAAAAATAAATACCATTTTGGCATAGCCTCTTTCGGAATATTTATAGCATTGTTTTATATAAACCTGTGACAGCTACCTCCAGAAAATGTATAGTGTTTGATACAGCATATAGAGCAAACAATCCACAAGCACCAATGCAGGCGTTTCGATTCATCATTGGCTAAAAAGGGGGAGAAAATCCCCCATAAGTAGTTCAAATCAAGTTATCAATACGAGTGTCTATATTGATAAAATATTTACTTTGTCCAAATACAATACTTCTGGTCCATTCCTTTTCCTCTTATGGAAGTTTGTTAAGGCAACTTGCATACTTGGTTTTAAAAAGCGCGATGCGGTCCGATGCGTTAAGGGTCCCGGAAGCCGATGCGTGATGCGTGATGCGTGATGCTGATGCGCTCGCATCACGCACGTGATGCGCCCGGTATTCAAAAAATATTTATAAATTAATTCTACATATCAATTTCTACCTTAAAAATACTTCATTTATAACATAAAGTAGTTAAAAAAGTAGCATTAGAATCTTAAAAAGTTCGTGTTCTACTTCTTTGCTGGTTGTCGATACCAACAACTCACGTCACGTTTTAATTGATATGCGATGCTAGGTCTCTCACAGTGCGACTTCTACTTCTTCACTGTCGGCTTCTTCTATTAGGTCTCTCATAGTCTCACGTTCTATTTTACTTAACTAAGAATCCCAACTAAAAAGCCTAACTAAAAACTGAAAAAGGGAGCCCAAAAATGCAACATACATGATGCGTTGATGCATAAGTGATGCACGCATCGTGTGATGCGTAGGTGATGCGAGCGCATCATGGAATCGCAACGCATCAGACCCTTTGATGCGTTTTCTTCAGCGCATCACAGCGCATCACGCATCACAGCGCATTATGCGCGCATTTTTAAACCAAGCTTGCATATTATAGGCATGTATCATTAAACAAATACAAAACCAAATAACTCCATAATTATGAATACCATCACCACATATCCATGTGGCTCTGTAGTTCCCCAAAAGATAGTGAGTGTTGATAAAGCTCCCCACCTTACTTTTCGGCAATCAAAAGTTTCTTCAAGTGTTACATGTCATACTTCATTTCAGGGATTCCTAACTCACGTCATAAAAGAGTGACTGCTTCCTTGGCATATTTATGACATGTTCAAGATAAAAAATATTGCGGAAGAAAAGGAGCATGCATTTCTTAAAATTTTGGTGAAACTAACACTCGTGCAAACAAGCAAGGGAAATCCAAAATTCTTTTCAAACAAGAAAATTGGATGTCTGGTTCCATACAGGACAACATAGCTTTGGTGTCTATGTTATGATTTCCCAAGGAAGCAGGTCACTGGTTTTCCCCTCTGCCTAATGCATGGAACATGGCGTACAGACTGGTTTCCTTACAAAAAAGTGTAATATGAATTACTTCCTTTATTCAGTTATAACCAGGTTGGTGTCTCCATGTATTCATGTGCTGTAGCCATAGTTGATCAGACTGATGATTTCTATCCATTTTATTGTCAGCTTCATTCATATTTTAAGCATTGTGACATGATTTTTAAGGGTTTTCTTGTTTTGTCTACCAAATTGCCATCCTTGTAAATCAGAAACATAACATAGCAAAAAAGCATGTAAATTCCAAGTAAACAAGAAACGTAAACAGATTACCATCGTCCGACTTTCCAAACTGATAATTAAATATGCATGATACTCGTCATCTTCAGCTGTTGTTTTCGAATGTTCAGCTTGATTGCGTGAATTCTTGTGGTAGACGGTCCAAAGCCCCTTGCAGCCCGGTATAGCTTCCTACAAAATGAAGAGGTTCACATATAGATTTCAAAATTGCATGGTAAATTGGAATGAATGTGAAAGTAGAGCAACAATCTAGGTTATTTCACTTGCAATGAAACACGACTTGAGTTCTACTAGTTACAATTCCAAAAATCATCTCTCCAGCTGACCAAGACACAGAAGCCTAAACAAGTGTGCAATGCACACAAGAAAATCAGAAGCCTACAAACGTAATGGAGACAAACAAAGAAAACTGACATGATAGAATGACCTTGCTTCTTGCAAAAACTAAAGGGAAGGATAGCTGATATGGCAGTAATCAAGGACCACGGATCCAGAGGGCCAAGCGGAAGTAATTATAGGTAGGCTCAAAAAGTACCATCTCAAAGAACACCACTCATTGTTCGTTAGTGTAGTAAGCCTTGTAGCCATGAGGGACATTATGAAAAGAGGAGGACATAAATTTACGCAGAGAACAATGGAATCGTCATGCACATTCTAAAAGATGCAACAAAATTTTAACAAGCTCTTGAAGAGAAAACTAAGTAGATGGACACACTTGAGTGATAACTTCTGGACGAATAGACCGCTGCAACACACAGAGAGCACCATTCTTTCCATGGCCAGAACAGCACACCTGAAGATATTTCGAAAAAAGAAATAAGAATTGAAGAAAGGCAGACTTGTAAGTGTTTGATGTAACAATAGCCAAAAAGGACAGAAAATAAGGAATGGAATTAGCATTCATGCAATTGCATTGCAACTGCAGTAGCCAACCCACAGAAAGAGACAACTCACAAGTTCATAATTACTTCGCTTAGCAACCCCTTTCGCGTTTGGATCAGCATTCATTCGTAAACCATAGGAGAAGTCTTTCAAAGGGCCAACATTAATCAATGAGTCCCTCACAGTAAATGAGAATGTTTTCTGCATCATTTAGAAAAACAAGATATATCATAAACACTGCATGGTAAATATAGGTGTAAACTGAAGAATAGGTCAATAACACTGATACGTTATTCAGGTCATGAGGTGCATACAAGTGAGAGAGAGAGAGAGAGAGAAAGAGAGAGACCCAGGATGCACACTTTGTTATTACAGACCACATTTGTACAAATTTCGAACATCTCATACTCATATCCTTGGGCAGGTAGTGTACCTAGAAGGGATAATCTTATATGGCTAAGTCTTTGAGAGATCATGATGTACTTCCCCTTTGACATCCCAATTCAAATGGGTTAATAATGCAAAACAGTTTGTATGGGTATGCATCCAAGCATCAGAAGAAACGATACCACCTTAAGAGTTTTGCACCCTCTTTTCATATACAGTGTACCACATGAAACATATAGATGCATAAATATTATCTACATCATGCCTTGTGTATCTTCTTAATGAGTGTTTTCATCTGCATCGCTCTAGTGTGCTAACCCTTGTAGAGGGACAAACTCGCAATTGACAAGGTGCCTGACGCTCTATGCTAGGGAGACCCAGGTTCAATCCCATGGTGGAGGACTCCTAGTGAATGGGCCACAACCGCATACTGAAAGTGAAGTTTGCTCGATACATATAGACAGGGTGTTTTGCATGAACATTGTGAATCATGCGGACTCAAGGTGCTGATACCACAGACTTCAAAAAGAGGTATGATAAACCATGTTTTACATATTTGCCTTGAACTTGCAACATGCATTATTATGAAATATAAAGCAATGACCAAAGGGTCCATGAGACCATGGCAAACCACCCACCATACAGGTGCCAACAACTTCCCCAAAGTGAAATAAAAACAAGTCTTCAATTCAGTGGATGATGGGCAGTGTCTAGAATCAAGTGAATAAAACTTCATCAATCAATTATCTAATTATTTACACAATGAAACCAATTAAAGCAAATAAGCTGAGAAACTACAAAATGGATTGAGTCAACATGGTCTCACAAGAACCACAGGGTACTAAGTAACAATCTTATACATCTGGAGGTACATTTCTTGGTAGAAAGCATGTAGATAAGAGATACGCCGACATGTTTCAGAAGCATAGATAAGCATACAAGGCTTATTGTCTACCTCGGGTTAAGATAGGTTTTCCTAACAAATTTCTAATAGATATACTGACTGAAAATCATCTTAAGTTGAATTTGGGATATGTACGAAATGATTAACCTGGGAAGACTGCGCATTGTTCAGATCCGAGCCATACAAGGAAAGTTCTTCATCATTTGCCATATCTTGCAAAGCATCAGAGGAAGATCTCCTTAATCGTTTTGTTGACGGGATATCGCCTTCAATATCACCAACCTTGTAAGATAGAATGAAGTAATAAATTAGTTAAATGATGACGAAACACAAATGGCTTGGAAATTTGGCTTGAGAAAAACATGTTATCTAGAATTTTATACAACATAGGAACTGCATGTTAAGTGAACTGAAGTAGACAACTAAGAGATTGGCCACAATACAAATATAATACTTCATCCCAAACAAGCCCTTTGGCTGTTTATTTGCCGAAAATTAAATAAGCATTTTGCTTTCTCTACTTTAACCAATGTTCGCATCACTTTTTCTATCAAACCATTCTATAGAAAATCAACTATGAGTCTACATTTTTATTTGATAGCTCTCTTTTGATAATCATCTATGTTAGCTCACCAAATGAGTGCCCCTCGAAACGAGTTTTTCTAAAAAAAAATATCTCAACTTCCCTAAAAATCTATCAAAATTAGGGGTTGTTTACTAAATGCTTACCAATATCACTTACCTTAATGATTTATCATGACATGGACTAAAAATCTTACCCAATGAGAGGCATAACAAGAACCGAAAGTCTTACCTGGTAAGTGAGGAAAAAGACCCTTACCTGGTAAGAGCTTACCGGGTTTAAGACGCGTATCAACAATCCATTTTGATGGCCAAGAATGTTACATGATAAGGTAAGTGATGGTAACTTCTCTTGCCGATAAGCGCTTGCCCGATAAGCATTTGGTAAACGGCCCCTTATTGTTTTCTGATGCTTAGCAACAATGAATTTAAATTCTTATGCACAATAAAACAAGCAGTCAGTTGTGAATCACGCATCAAAACTATTGAAGTTTTTTATATTTTGAGCAAAAGCTTCAAATGTTTTGTCTACTTTGTAAGAATAATTTAGGAAGTTGCCAAACATGGGACACAAAAGTAAGACATATGCTCGACAGACCTCTTCCTTTGCACCAGGAGTCAAAATAGAGGAACTTGATCCGCAATGGAACTGCACGAGCAAACTATCTCCTAGACGACTTCCCAGAAAGAAGAAAGAGCTTCCAACAGTAGTGATTCCCTGTAAACAAGAAACCTCATTAAACAGTGCAAAGATTGAGAAACATAAAAGATTCTGTAGTACGATATATTCTTTGGATGAGTGCTGACCGAAGTTAGTACTGAAGCTTTAGACTTGGAAAGGTCAAGTTTCTGCACGATTCTGCAAAGATAAAATTTGAAGTTCAAAGTGCTGCACAGACAAACAAAATAGGCAATGAATCCAAAACGACAGCACTCTGTAGAATCCTTCTCGTTCCCGTATTTTGGTTAAAACACCTCATCTCTCATGCATGAATTTCTTATATTTGTTCCTCTGCATTATAAGTCATTCCAATTCTTCTGTTCCTCCAAAAATTGTAGCTTAAAGAATCAGCAGTGCAGATTTGTAACACATGAATCTATGAGATGATTAGGAAATGTGAGAGCTATGATGTTACAGCAGTCAAAATCAGAAATAGTGGACAGGACTGTGATTTGAAATAGCAGTTATCGCGATGGCAAAAAGCGTTGGTATAGCGGTCCAAAAAGATTCATATAATAATTAAAATTATATATACACAAATACACAGAGTCAGGTTCAATCAAGAACAATGACCAAATAAAAAACATGAGAACAGCCGAATCACATGTGATTTTACAATAAAATCATGTGTAAGATCACATAGATTTCGTGCGAGCGAAGCCGCCCACACACCCTTGCATTGACCATGTTCTGTAACTGCATGTGATTTCAGTGCAAAATCACATGTAATTTGGTCATTTAGTTCCTTATTTTGACCCTGTTCTCGTTTGATCCTCCCGCTATATACATATACAAGTAACATATTATATATATTGAATAAAATTATATAATTTTAATATAAATGCAGCTTCCCAACTATTATGTTTGATATTACGTTATATATAAGAGGAGAAATGTGTGTCCTTGCACACTGTGCAGAGGAAGTCGCGTGAAAAGTAGAAGTTGAAGCTGGAATACAAACAGAAGAGCGCGTGAACAAAGAAGATGGCGAACAGACGATGCTCGAAGATAATGTTGCAGATGTCGAGTGAAGATCAGAAGACACAAAAAGAGTAGAAGACATGCACGATATTGAACAAAAGAGGTGAGAGATGAATAGAGAGTTTTCACACCGCTATTGTAAATCAAAACCAGCGACCTAGCACATAATCCCTTAATTGACTTCACTAAACCCTTAAGAACCCAACTAAAAAGTAGCAACAAGGACACAATGGATTTGAACTAAAAAAGACAGACTAAAGCAACGAGCCTCTGGCATTTTCTTTTGTGGCCTTCTACATTCACACATTCATGGAAGAATATAGAACAGTGGAACCTAGAGTCCTAGACTATAATAAATGTCCTTGACAAAAAAAACTCCAATATAAAGTATAAAATTAATTTGGAATTTCGTGTCATTTGCTAAAACAGAGTAATAGAGAGACAATCATCAAACCCATGTTAATCAACTGGAAAAGGTAGTAAGAGTAACAGCAGCTATTTGTTATAAGTTAGGGAAGATCATAATAATACTCTGAAAGTTACCCACCGCCCATCGTGAACAAGTGTCAACAGAAGTAGTTCTCCAGATTTTGTTGACAGCATGGCAACATCATTTGATAACCAAGTTGCATTCGCAGCATCAAGCTCCACGCTAAAACTCGATCTTGACATCTCCTGACTGATAAATCAATGTACGGCTACACGTCAGAAAGCACTTTACTTTGTGTGCAAGAGCAAGATACTTTTATCCAAAAAAAGAGCAACATACTATGTAGCTACATGGATCTAAATTCACAGCAAACACTGATGTAACAAGTTAGAGAGCATTACAAGAAGCAGATATATCAAATTCATACAGCTTATTAATTGTATCAGGATAATCATTCTCATTTTTGCATGTGTCTTCATTAGCAGTTGACTAGCAGTCCACCATGTAACCCCCCACCCCCTCAAAGATCAAAATACCCCCTATGTCAATGATCCGATCTTGCATGAGGTGAAATACCTGATGGAGTCATGACCTAATACAACAAAAAACCACCAAAAAATCAACTTGTATGAAACTAATTCCAGCAGGATGGTTTGAGCTTCAGATGCTTACTGGACATAGTCAACGGTAGCAAATACTCTGACCAGATAAATTCTAGAAATGTTCACAGGAAGCAACCAGCAGACACCGAGCCGTCCTGGGGGAGGGCGGGAAGAGCGCACGTCCAGGGCCCATAAGAAATAGGGCCCAAATTTTTTAGTATATAGTAGTAATCCAAAAAAATTAGTAAATAAAAGAGAGAATTTCTTTTAGTATCTAATAGGACCCAAAAAGAATTAAGTATTATATTAACTATCAAGGGGCCAGACATGTATTAATTAATTACATTGGAGAAGAAAATTTGTAAAAAGTTCATTGATCTTTCATTTTATAGTATTGCTTATTCTTTCTCCAAGTTTTTTATCTAGTACCAAAGTCTATAACTATTTGCCTTTAAAACCTTGATATATTCTCCATCATTCATCTCCCGACTCTTGATTATTCCATCTGCATGAATTCTATTTTTATAGATTTCTTGTTATTAACCAAGAAAACCCCTTCCTTTTGAAAAAAATTACCAACCATATGAGACGATCTAACTTATATTTAGGATTTCAAACTACCCTTGTTTTTTCATTCATTATTGACTCTTTATTGCCCAATACTGAATGCATGAATCTTAAGTACTCTATTATCTCTAAAACAATAATAAGATCTCAAGATTTAACCAACATGGGCTTTTGATTCTAAGATTGATGATTTCGAAAAAGATTGTTCTAACCCTAACGTTGTGTTCTCGAGTCTTATTTAGGAAGGAAAGGAAGGGAAAGGGAAGGAAAGTAGGGAGAGAAAAAAAATTGTTCTAGAGTTTTTTAAGGAGGGGAAGGAAAAGAAAAGGAAGGAAAATAATGTTCATTTTCCTCCCAAATGTGGAGGAAAGAGAAAGAAAGAAGTTATCTACCCATCAATCACAATCCGCTATAAAATAAATGAGGGTATATTTGTAAATTTGACATCTTTTCTTTCCTTTCTCTCCTGCTCAAGAACAAGAAATTTATTTTCTTTCCTTCCATTTCCTTCCTCTCTCTTCACTCTCAGTAATACAAATAAAAAATTCCTTTATTTCTTTTCTTCTCTTTCCTTACCCATTCTTCTCTTTTCTTTCCTTCCCAAATTGGAGAACACTGCATAGCGGCTTAAAATTGTGATGAAAAACATTTACATGAGGTGGCATCGAAAGCTAACTGATTTATTATTGATTTACATAGATCTATTCCGAATAGTCAACATTGTGACCCCAAATGATGTCAATCTATATACTAAAGATATATCATATAATGTTTTTGACTGTGGAACAGAATCGATGCTATGTAAAAATGTTATGACAGATAATATTAATTTAGAAATAACTATTGATTGGTTTTGCATCTAGGAATACTTGGAAAAAAGGTTTTATATGAATTATTAAAGTTATTTCTGATGATAACAACAATATATTAAAAAAATTCATATTCATACTTATCGAGGAACCCCTTTTACATCTCAGGAACAGGCCTGAGCAGACATGACATGCAAAGCTCCATCAGTATGAGGCTTGAACCTATAGATCATCTTAGATACAACGAGTAGTGATGACAAAAGGGACTAGGCAATCAGTGAGTTCCGACGGATCTCATTACTTTCCAGGAGAACACAAGCCCCCCATGCATGGTGGTAACTGGTAAATACATAAAAGATGCAAATGCAACTTATAATAGAACAAGAGTAACATATTAATTTACTCATTGTAGCCTTTTTATTAAAACATTATAGGATGTGATTATGACCTTTGACTTCAAGGTTTGTACTCCTAACCATGGATTGATATTACATGCAAATCATCATGAATCTTGCTCACGTAATAAAATAGACAAGTAAGATCATGCATCAGGCCAACTCCAAAAAAATGTGTAATAAAAAACTGTATACACATAAAGAAGAAAAGAGAACAACCATGGAAACTGACAAGCAGTAAAAACACCAATCAAAGTGTAGAGGCATTTTGAGGACATGTAAACGTAGGAATGCATCTGAATCAAGGAGCGATGAATGCCCTAACCTACTCAATGAAAAGCAAGTAAAAGAGTGGGAGGAGCACTAACACTAGCCCCCATCACATACATGCTATGAGAATTCCAGAATGCATCAAGTTTCAGTAAGGTGTAATGATTAATGTAAATATGACATAATTAAGTACTGAGATTGGCAGGCAAGAAGGCTCCACTAATACATTAAAAAAAATCAAAGCCTTATTAAGCACTCTTCGGAGGATAGACTACAAATCCAACCCTCACTCCCAACACCAAAGATGTGTACCTTAGAGGGCTTGGGATATGATTTCAGCAAAATTGTTTGATTGAAATGCACAACTTTAGCAAGCATGTTAATCAAGCTCCGATATAAAGCATACATACCAGGTTTTAAATAATATGGAAGTTTATATTATGAAAGGTGTTCTGGTGTTGAGCCGAGTAAATAGAGTAGCTTTACCCATGCACCGCCGCAGCCAGATAAAAATAGGGAGATTAAACAGTAAAACATGGAAAATAAGATAAAGGAATGTTAAATGTCGCAAAGTATCAGATGCATGAAAGAAAAAAAAGGTGAAACAGTAAGCCTTGCATTGAAGTCTAAAGATACTAAATACATATACATTAATCGCAGTTGAATGTCATTCAAGTTCAGCCCATCAGGGACTAGATAAAGAGAATTCTATTAAAGTAACTGGTCAAACTGAATATTTTAACAGATTATTCTTTTCAACATTTGACCACGAAAAATTAGTTGCAAGCTGGAATTCTACCTAGTACCAGAAATAAAAAGTAGAAGACATGGCAAAGCAAAAAAATGAGTAAAGACCAAAAGCAAGTGAAAGTAAAATCAGAACTGACCTGCTATCCACTGGAAGAGCATAATTGTTCAAAGCCAATATGCACGATGCTGACTGAACAAGAGCAGTTACTAGTTTAAAAGCATGTCATAGAAGATTCAATTACTACAATAGGTAAGTGCTGGCGTCCAGCATAGATATTAGGGGATATCATTAATAAGGTACTCTGCCTCATCTTTTTCAATGCTTTTTCTGTTCCTTGGGAAAAAGGAGGGAAGGATTAACATTGCGATAGAAAGAGAGATACCTGGCTATGATAATGAATGGTATTTGCACAAACAACAAGGACTCCACCAATTGGAGAGGGCACAGCAAGAAGCTTATAGGCATCATGTGGAAGATTCTGATACATTAGAACATATAAAATTCAATAGAAATATAAGCAATATCTGCAGTCCCTGCATATAGAAATCCACAGCTGATATGAAAAACATGTAAACCTAGGATGTTATACTCAAACAGTAATCACAACCAATCTAAACTTTCCAATAGATAAACAACATGTTCAACGTGCCAATAAAATTGAAGGTGTTATATTTAAGAGTTTTTTTATCGATAAAAGCAGAAAAAATGTTTTCAAAAATGTCCATTCCAGCTGATCCATGGATAAATACCAGTAACATGACAAACAGATAATCAAACAAGTCCTAGATTCCTAGGCACCCTTTGTCTGTATGTGTTGCAAACAGAAACAGAGTCAAACGACATTGGTGCTTCATTGTGTTTTTGATGCTATGGATGCTGCCATTCAAATTATTGAACAAACTACAAAGCTTGACCAATGTACATTAAGGACTCGAGAACAATTATAAAACACAAGGGATGATTGTGTGCGAATAAATAAAACCACATATCTTGTTCTAAATTTTACAGATACATCCTAGCATCCCATCATATCTACCAGCATCGCAAACGACTCGTATTTCTGATCTAAAAGCAAGTTTCCTCTCGACTAAAATGACAATTACAACACTTTTGCCCCAACTCAGAGACTTCAAGAAAAAAATAGATTTCTAATTTCAGATTGTAGAAAGATTTTGATAATTAAAAATTTACAACAATGTAATGGTTGCTCATGTAAAACCAAGAACTAAACCGGGTTCCATCCTAGAAATTGATGCTAGTACTTGTAAAAACACAAAGGTAACTTATCCAGAAAAATCACTAAAAGGCTACGCATACAGCGTACTAGGAATGAAAGCTGAACTGATGATTAACCTTGTTCATTCAGGTTCTGAAAAATTATTTGTTTGGCATTTAATTCAGGATTCAATATCCACTTATAAATCATTTTTCCTGCTTCAACAATAGTTATAGCTACCTACAACAGAAAATGATAACAAGCTTAGATGCTCAAACTACTTTCAAGACATCTTATTTTAATTTTTTGAAGAATGCCAAATGAACAGGGTAGCAGCTGCTACACATTCGTGGATATTGAACTTGCAACCGTTAGATGCATATATTAAACAGCTAAAATCTTAGAATCACAATCATAGATAGCACTCTTTTATTCCAGAATCAACAAATCTATTTAGTAGAAATATAAGAGAGCTCAGTGCAGCAATGAATACACATGAACTTGGCAGAAGTAACTGATTCAGGCACAGGTGGGATCAGAACTTACAGAGGCAGACCATATGAGTGGATGCTGCTTCAAAGTGGTGCTGATGCTAAGTGCAGAAATTAGACAAGTATGATGCTTATAAGGGAGACGCCCAGCCCAAGTGAGTTCTTTCTCATGAAGGATGACCAACACCGGTTCAATGTAACCTGTAAATTGAATGTTATTAAACTCATAACTGAGTAAGAAACAACAAAAGAACTCCATAAAAATCGATCGTTAATGCAAGCACACTCTTTAAAGAACATCACCCGACCAAAATTAATTAAAGAACTCATTTGGCAGGACCAGTATTTAAGCATGATCTGTCCCAAAAAATTTGCCTCGTAATATCCACTAAATCGAGAAGAATGAATCTCCTGCAGTACATTAGAGATCTTCTAAGGCTTCCATGCTCACGATCACATGTATATAAACAACAATCTATCAGTCACATGTTGCATTTATAATCCTACTAGACAAAGTCTTTGTTTGATTAAGTGGTCATACTTTAAGCAGAAAAATAAAACACTGATTCCTGGAAGTAAATGAATAAATAGGATAACAAGCAGCCTGTCACTAATTCAGGTCCTTTTGGAGCGTGACGTCTTCAGTTTCCAGTAAGTCTAGGGTCGTTGTTTGAAATCGTCTGAATTTTCTATCCAGGTTCTGATTCTGGTTCAAAGTCATTCCATAGGAACCTCCTAAATATTCAAAGCAGTTTCTTCAGACCCACTAGATATTAAAACAGGATGGTTTAATTTGCAACAGATTGATCAAAACTTGGACCAGTTCTAAGAACGTTATATCACATTACGCATTTTTATAGCAGAGAAAAGAAAAAGAAACAGCAGCTTCAACAATTTTAAGTCAGTTATGATTCTGTTTATTAGTCAACATAAGGAATTAATGAACAGAGTCACTGCAGAAAAAACAACAAACTCATGGTTATTTTTTATCAGCTTCACTTAACTGCATAAGGTTATGAATTTCATCTTCATGATCAGAAATATCGATATGTAATGAAAATATTTAAATATGCCTTTGAAAGCGAGCTTCTCACCGTGAACGAAAATAAAATCCTTGACATGCTTGACATCCAAATCTCGTAAACTTATCATGTATGATGATTGAATGCGTGCAGAAACTGATCCCCCTGTACTAGAAGCACCATCATCGCCAGCCAAACCACCAGCCTAACATCCAAAACAACAAAACAGAAAGCAATTTAACAATTTGCAATGACCATATATGTAGAAAACTTGAAACATATAACCGTTCTCAACTTCTCATTTCAGTTCCACTAGGTTGCCCTCACAGGGACAAGGAAACAAAGTTGATGAGAATCTTGACATTACGATCTGATACAATAATGTCTCAACCAATTGTATCCACGGCTTTAACCTAGCAGGTAAGAAGGCAGACATCCTTGCAAAATGAGCCAGAGAGCTGGGGTTCAACTCAAGGCACCCACCACCAGTCCCAGGGACGCGATTAACCTTCCATGATGGCCGTGGGACAAGGCAGGGGCGCTCCAAAGTGTGGCATCATACCCTTTTGCAGAATGTCTCAACCAATTTGATTATGATATATGAATCCAACACATCATGAAATGATGAAAACAATGGTACTAATCGAACATGAAACAACACTAAGTTAGAAGTATCAGAGAAGTAGCACTTATGTAACATGTTCAACCATTATGAAGATTCTAAAAAAAAAAAATTAATAATCTCCAGTTGTTAAAAATAGTCTTAAGCAATCTATTTGTAAAGTCAACAAAAAGTTGGTTGAAGCCTTGAATAAGTTTTTAAAATATTTAGAAAAAGAACCAGCAAAAGCAAATTACACATGGTATACAAAAAGTAAGAGGGGTAGGGTTCTGTTATGTGGACAATTAAATCCTTCTAGGTATTTAATGCACCTGTAGTTTGAATCGTGGTATCAAGATTTTCGAATTTACAGTTATAGAGATCCCTAGTCAATTTGTCATAATAACTTTTAAATATATTTCGGATACTTCTTCCAAGGAGAACATTGTACATATCTTAAATCAATACCAAGGCAGTTGAAATAGAGATGCTAAACCTAAGCTTGTGCGCACTTTGATTTCCATAAATCACTTTTACAGTCAAGTTCACAGTTGGAAGATGGAAATGGACAGATGTTACCATTTTAGATTCCTTGTGTTACAGAAAACATGATAAAGAAGATCAAATTTCCAATTTGCAAAGCAAAATATATGATATTGAAGTAACATGTAAGTGGAATGCATGTTATCAAACTACAATATAACAATAAGATGGCATGGAAATAACAAAGATAAATATAATCTAGTAGACAAGACCTCAGCAGCTTTGAGTATTATCATTTGTAGGCCATACACAAGTACCCCAGCACACCTGCCCAGAGGATCAACTTTGATTAACGGCCCTCTGGCAAAACATTCTCTGCCTTTTTTCAAATGAAGCCACTGTGGACCCTCAAAGCAGTGCATTGAACTGAAAAGAAGAAAAATCATCATCCATAGGACAGAGTGAAAGAGATTCAAATAGAGAAGGCTATCAGAGTTACTGGTGTAGCATTCTGCTTTGAAATCAACCAGTATATAGACAGCAGTATGTGTTTGAATCTAGATAAACAGATATAGATTTCAAAAAACACGATATGCTGTATAACATAGATCAGGTGTCGGTCATATAAAGGTAATGATTATGATGCAACAGGCCTGGTTCTATCACCGCCAATGATAATATGATATTCAACTTATTATGGCACTAGACAATGAAGCACAGAGTGAAATTCTGGGAGAGTTGTTGAAAACAGACCTAAGCATGAAACATCACCATTTATAAACAATTTTAATCTAACACTTCTCTGGATGGAGAATATTCATGTAAATCCATATAGAAAGAACACAGGGGCCTCCATGTAATTCCAAATATATCCTAAATCCAAAACATCCCTTAAACAATTTGCCAAAAATAACAAAAGATATAATGGTCAAGAACGTGAGTATAAAGATATGGTCAGATTCAAAACCTAGATAACTGCATATGAGATCAGCTGTATGCTTGTATCTTTCATATAGTTATTCGCAAAATTTAATATACAAAACAGTTTTTTACGATACACAAGATTTGCTAACCTAAGTAAATGTTCAAATAGTTATATGCAAAAAAGCTTTGGAATCCACATCATATTATGGGTGTGCATGCAGCTTAAGATGTTTAAAGCAACTTTGGCAGAAGACAGCGACATAAAAGTAGACGAGTACACTCAAAAGCAACGAATGAATAAGCACCCATTTACCACATGATGGATCAAGTTAGAAATAGACAATATAAAACTAGATGAGGCTCAGTAGCGCATTTAAGAGTCGTGTATGACCAACATTAATGTATAGTCTGGAATGGAAAGAAGTGCTATACACCAGTACTAGACAATTTTGCTTTCTAATACAGACGAGGTGTTAGGCATCTTAGATATGAGTATGTTCCAGAAAAGAGTAATCAATTTTAGAAAGAATATCTAGTGAATCTACAACAAGAAGTATAAAATCAATCGTAACCATGATATAGTAATCAAATAACCTGGACAATAGAGCAGAGTGTGACTGTTAACTGCTAATGTTCAATCGTTCAGAAGAACACAGTAGACTGTAGAACATAGCATGGAAGAATTCTTTAGTTGAAAAGTTTTGAAAGGTGAGAAAGGATTCATGTCGTCTACTCTGCCTAATCAATAGATTCAATTCATGGAGATTCACCCAAAGAGTAACTAGGAGATAAGAAACTTGGTTAGAAGATCGCAGTTATATAATTGCAAGCTTATAGAATCTTGTTGCAGGAAAAATTTTCCATTACCTGAACACAATTTAGCCACTACATCAACCACAAGTCCCATTATGTTTATCCATTACATGTTACTAAAAAATGAATGAAATCTTCTCTATTTCTTTTTTGAAGACCTTGTGCTTCTCTGGTTCTCCTAAGCACTATCTCCTACTTGTCTTTTATCCTTCGTGAGTTCCAGTTTTCTTCGAGTTCTCTTCTTCGATTCTTCTCCGGTTCACCAGAGTATTATGTATATGTATATGTATATACTAGATACACTTCTTTTATATTTAGTCTCTACTGTGTCACTATCACTGTCACACTTGTACTCCAACTTTATTGATATTTTAATATTTTTTTCTTATGAGCTGTGAGCATACTAAAATATATACACACACACACATATATATTAATAGATCAATATTTTATTTCTTTGCTACTATATATATATATATATATATATATATATATATATCGTGATTGGAAAAAGTGTTGTAAATTCTTTTAGAAATTTAGTATGACATTATATTTATTGCATATACTTTTTGTGTATAAGTAGTGGAATGCAGATTGGTATAAATATATTGTGTAGTGTATATATACATTGGTATATATATTTCCGCCTCGGGGCTTACGCCTCGATTCATTGAGGGAAACGCCTCGAGGCCCGATTCCGCTGTTTTCAAACCTTGGATAGACGAGCACTAAGATGCTTAGTCAGGTGAGAGATGATTATGAGACATATAGATCTATCATGAAACCTAAAAAGATGCTTTATGCGTATGCCTGGCAGGAAGTGTAATCCTATTCAAATAGGGTAATCATTAAAAAGAAGCTAACACATTATACATCAAAAGTTCAAATGGATACAATTATTTGAATATTCAAGTATTGACAGGTATGTTTGGTGATCATACTCTAGAACTGCATTGTCCAAGCATGATAGATAAGGATGAAAAGGTATGAAAATAAACAAGTCCAGTTGTCTTGGGACTAAATAGATTTTGCTCACCTTGTACGAAGTCCATACACTGAATCATCAAATTCTAGAACTGAGATTTTTGCATCTTGAAAAGTTAAGATGATAGAATCTCTTCTTCTACCACCTGTCCGCTCATCTGCTCCAGAAGACAGCACACCCACTGATTCCACATTACCATGCAACCTGTAATACAGATATAATTTCATAAGAAGCATAAAACCTTCCAATTTTTGCCCAACATGGAGCATCTTTCTAGTTATCATCCAGCAAATATCATGACTATTGTTTCATCTTACAGTTTCTAATTGTTCATTTGCAAGTTGAAGCTTTTAATTGAGCCTACCCTGTAACTTTTTAGCTTGGTCCTAGTTTATAAACTATGACAATGCATGCCTTAGGATTTTACTTAGATTAGGTTTACTTATATAATTCTGGAGTTACAATATTCCAACCGCACATAACTTTGAGGGTTTTTGTCTATTCATTACTAATATAATTATGTCCACTCCTCCAAGGGTCATGCTATTGGGTGTTTGTTTCCCATTTGATTCTTAAGTATCCTTATAAATTATAAACAGTTTATAAAAATGATGATGGAATCTCCGTTGTTTAAAAAATAAAAATAAAAAGAAAGAAAGAAAAATGTGCTTTATATTTCTGGGCGTACAAATCTAATAAGTAACAAATAACATTTCTTACAAGAGTTGACAAGTTGTGAATGTATTCTTGTTTGTCATAAACTGGCATCTTGTCAAGTTCAAACTTTCACCCATTTAAGTCAATAAAAAGATGGGATATTTTCAAGCATCATCATTCTCTCTCTCCCTTCTTTCCTGTTCTTTTCTCCCTTCAGTGAGGTATGTTCCATTTCCCTATCACACACACACCATTTTCAAAAATCCTAATTCAGAAATATTTATACGTCTATCCGATAACTATGAAAGATATCTTGAGGTACATTAGGGAGCAAGTGCTATACTATATTCCTCGAGAGATAATTCAGGTTCATTCATTTCATGTAGGTACACAAGGGGGGAGGTTCAATTAGCAATATTTAGACCTCGTTCATTTAGCAAGCTCCGCTTAGTTTTTCCTCAAAGTTTGGAAGATCACTTCTCCGAACTCCAGGAAAAAGTTTAACATGTGTTATTGTCTTGTCGCCAAAAACTTGTTTATACAAAATGTCATTGCACGAGATCCACAAGTAATATAGTTCGTAAGAACTAGATTCATGCCTGGAGGGAGTGAGGGACTATTCTAAACCATTAATTGTGTAAGTATAACCAATGCAATAAAGGTAAATCTATTGAACTTTGAAGATATTATGGACTAAAAATCAGAAATGTAATCGTAGTCTATGTCTAACTAAAACAGATAAGAATGCATATTAGTCCAACACAGCTACCCCAGCAGAAAATACAAACTATAAATGCAATAACAAACAAACATTGAAACAAATATTTAATCAATGTAACCATGGGATCAAGATAACTTCGCACAAGCTAATATAAATATTTTATAAAGTAAATGCACTCGTTATAGCTCTGAAACAAAGCTCTTAGCAGTCCAGCACATTTGATCTCAAAGTTCAAAATGCCACTTTCTTCTGAAATGGATAGAGTATCACACAAGAACAAGAAAATTAGTTATAGTAGATTGAACTAATCTCTTAACAAAAACCTATCTAGTTAAATACATAGCTACAATTGTAGTTTCAACCACACCAATTGAAATTAGCTTTCTCAAGTTTGCAAATATAGGCGGTACCTGTAACTACAAACGAGTTCTAGTGAAGCACCAGAGAGACCAGCCATGACGCCTCCACGCTGTGGTTGTGCTACGCTGGAAGAATCCTTGTTGGTATTATTACCATCTTCCTGAACCCTAACTACATAAACTTCAAGCACATTAGCCGCGGTCACGATGAGGTTGGGGATGGGGCCGACACCTGGGGTCAGCGTGGAGGTCCATACGGACTCGACGTCTTCAGTCTGAACCGGCAGAATGCGAGAAGGGAAGTCGGCCGGAGAATGCGTGATGAATCCCGAAGCGCAGTTGTCGATTCCGGTGGGAGGGTGCATCAATTTGTAAGCTGCGTAGCTCATTTTCTCTGTGTAATATAACCTGTTATATGATGATTTTTGAAATATAGAATTGGATTCGAAGAGGATTATGCAGAGATATGACTAGGGTTTTAAGAGCTTAAACCTCCCTCTGGCGCTTGGACTGTGAAGAACGATATGGTTATTCTATTTTGCCGCTGTAGAAGAGAATTGCAAGGAGGAGGTAAAAACCCTGTACGGATGGATATTTGACCCGCCGGCTAACGGGGCGAGTATTCTCCGGGTTAGGAGTAGACACCCGGCGTACTTCTATTTTTCGTACCTAAAAAATGTGAAAGTATTCTTAGATTTTAGGAATCTAAATTAATTGGAATTGTCAATTTCGATAACCGATAGTTCTTTGGGATTTATTAATAATAGACATTCCAATTCATATCAAGACTTGAGAATGACAATCTTACCCCTACTCTATAAGTCCAAACGTGAAAACACTTTTACCGGCATCACCACCCTCACCGTCGTTATTGTCGTCATCATAGCCGTTGCCATGTCTTCAAAACATTTTTGATAAGTCATGGTTTTTCCTATTCTAACCATATCTACTGGGCATCATCATCTTCTTTGGAAGCAATGGAGCTGTGTGTGAGGTTCTTGGTCACATTTTAATTAGAATCAATTACTTAATATGATAAGTGTATGTGGTATTTAGCATGACAGTCTTGTAATAATCACTTAAGATCTTATATAGGTAATAATGGATAAAAATACATGACAACAATTGAATGAAGACCATAAAGTTGCCACATTCTATAGTTACATGTTATCTTAATAATATCGATAATAAAAACATAAATACTACATAGAACCTTAAAGTATTTCCAATAACTTGGCACTACATGTCAATGTCAAAAAAAAACAACAGATTGGGGAATATAAAAAATTGAAAGCTAACACTACGTGATTAACAACAATAATTTATTACATTTGCATGTCTTTAATTAAATTCTTGTTAGGCATGATTTTGAGAGGTACTAGATTTAGGTTTTTGTTAGGGTTTACCTAGAGCATGTTCTTTATAAACATTTCTGAATTTTGATAGGTATGTGTATCTTAAATTTTGTATTTTATTTGTTTTTTGCAGTAATTCATTTTTGGGGAATGCCTCCTTTATATATATATATATATATATATATATATATATATATATATACTAGTTGTGTACCCGCGCAATGCGGCGGGAGCCATGAATTTAACGATTTTGAAGTTCCACGGGTTTTATAAGATAAGATTTAACAATGATATAGGTTACACTTGGTTTTTATATATTAATACAATTTTGAATAAATAAGAGTTATGGTTCCAATTACAGACTATCGATGAAAAAAATTGTATGGTAGTTTAAAATCCAATATATTTAAAATCCAACATATTTAAACGACTCCACAAATGTGTATCGGAAGAGGTTTGCTTATGGTTTACATTAGGAATAGTGAACAGTAAATAATGGTTTTTTAACAACTTTGAGAGCAAACAAAATATGAATTAATTGTATACACTGAAAAGAAAGACCAAAAATCCATATTATTCCTAAACGTTACAGAAGAAGATGCAGCATTGCAAGTGTTGAAGCAAAAGACAAAATAAACAAATAGAAAAGGGAAAAGGGAAAATCAAGTACAAACAAAACCATCATCACTCAAACTGTCTTTGATTTGGAAGTCTTCTTCTTGTTTAATGGTCTTCTTGGCATTGAGGTCTTCATGCCAATGAAAAACATGAGTCCCCCCAACAGTGCCAGATTCTACAAAAATCCACAAAATCCATTTTTAACTAAACTTCTACATAGTCGCTCTACTTTTTATAGTAGAAATCAGGTTTGCGTACATAGTACCCATGGCCCCACCTCGGTAGGATATACCCATTTGTACGGGGGCTAGTTTGGTTTGGTTTGGTTATTTGACTATATGAAACAATCAACCAAAAACAAAGAGGGGGTGTGTGTCATTCTAACCTGTGTAAATTTGATAAAAAGTTGAGAGAATTCTTTCTTCTCTACGTCATAGTTGTAGAAATCATACAAGATGGGAGTAACAATCAGCTGGTGCAGAATCTGAAACAAAACAAAAGCTTTAACGGTTTACTCCTTAGCCAACAATCGAAGAAAACGATGCTTATAATCATAAGAGTTACTAACCAGAAGAAAAGCACCAATTGTGCTGCCAAAGATGAAAAGGAGGCTTCTGATACCCTTCAGGGCTATAGCTCCAGCAACGAAAATTTTGATCTATAGAAGTCATATCACCATAATGAAAATTAGATGTATGTGGTAATAATCACGGGTTCAATCCTATTGAGAACTAAGCAGTGATTCTTGCCTCAAATTATGGCACTTGGAACCCGGTGTGTGCTGTGACATGCTTTGAGAACACACTGAACTTGGGCACAAGGGTTTTTGTTGCCGATCCACCATCATTGCCAAATTCATTGAACCTATATTCAACAGTTAATCAGAAGATCAAAATGGGAGAATTACCAACAAAAAGAGCAATTACTTAAAAAACAGATAAGAACCAGTCAAACTAAAAGAGACTTAAATCAGCCCATACTCTTTTAATTGATGATCACATTTAATATAAACATGATGAGCCAAAAGTAATTCTTTTCCCCCGTGTTAAATGAGATTACATTGAGTTGCTCATCTCAATACATAATGCTTATTAGACAAGAACATTGACTTGCTCTTCCTTTGGCTCTTCCTTTGGCTCTTCCTTTGGTGCGGAGGTCTAATAATTGTTATGTTCTTCAAAAGATATACTAATTTTAGATTTTGTAATGCTTTTCCCTGTCTATTTTAAACTCTCAAGGTTTTTATTAGGTAGTTGCATTTTAGTTGAAATTATACTTCATCCACCCATAAGCTAGCTAAAACGACCAATTGGCTGCACCTATGTTACATGTTTTGAAATAGCTAAGGGTCATCTATTCAGGTCATCTGCAAAATATATTGCATCCATTTATGTAAGTTACTGCATTGAAATATCCTATGGGGTCACTAAATAACTTTTAAGTTGCGAAAACAGTAGGGATTAATTTATACACTTATAGTGCAAGGAAGTCCTATTTACAAAAAAATGTTGTGGAATGTTGTGCAGCTGGAAATTCCAAGGAAATTGTTTGATCCAAATGTGTTCAATGCTTGGATGGTTCTCTTCTTATACATGTTGGAGCGACCTGTTCCATTAGAGGGCCAACCTGCTGATCTAGATAGTCTAACAGCTTTTTTCATTAGGATAACTTGTAGCTATGTAATTGTTAGTCTAAAGTTCCATCATAAAAAGAGATTTAATCCCAATATGGTCCTATTGTTCCTTTCCTATAAATCCCCATAAATCACACTATATCAAATTCAAACACACTTTGAAATACCTGAATATTGGGATACATTCAGGAGCATTATACCCAAATGCCCTTCCATTAAAACCCTACATCACCTTACCCAACCCACAATCCCCCAACCTCGGTTCAAAGTCTGCATCTATTAGTCCAAAATCAAAGCAATAATAACGCTTTATATGGGGTGTTTTGCCTGGAAGCTTACCAGGATAAACAAACAGGGAGCTAAACAAATGAAGTTTCAAACAAACATTGATGAAAGAACCGATCCTTGGATCTCACATGATTTGAACAAAACCCTAATCATTATTAAAGTAAGAATTGGAACATTAAAGAGGGAAAGATTAGAACTCACCATATTCAGAAATCAATTATGAATCGTACTGAGAGCCTGAATCGAACATCTTGGGAAATCAATTGTGAATCGTCGCTTTGAAGAGGGAGGCGATGGGAGCATGTGTGAAGAGAGTGACTGATATTTATTAGTCGCCTGAGGAGAGGAGAGCAAATCCCTTTGATACATGAAATCGGTTCTCTGATCGAGGTGATACATCCAGAACACAATTGTTACGTCAAACGAGGTCTGTGAAGAAGAAAGACCTCTGCTTTCTAACCCAAAATGTTGCTGGTGCAGAGAAATGATACAGAAGAGAAGAAAAGTTTTGGTCTTGGGTGATAGCAGAGGTAGAAGATAGAAGAGGAAGAAACCTAAAGAAGAAACCGGCCCAACATAGGTAATTTTTGGTCTTTGGAAAGCAGATGCATAAAAAGCTTGTACATTATGCATAAGAATTTGTAATTAAGAGATTTTTGAAATTGTTGCATAAAATGGTAGTACTTTAGGCTTCAAGAGTTGTAATTAAGACTTTGTCTTAAATGCTTATATATGTAGTATAGATATATGTGTGTGTGAGAGAGAGAGAGAAAAAAACAAGGTATCATTACTTGAAAGATAATGATATAGACTTAGGATCATGTGAGACCAAAGGTTTTTCATAAGATCCGTAAGACCAATTCTCATCCCTTGGACTAAATCTACAATCTGAACATTCATAATCACAAAAATGCCACGAGACTTCTCAATAATCACAAAATTGTCGCCGTGCAACTTTAGACCGATTTTTGAATAGCAGTTACAGATCGAAGGAAATGATAACGTTCAAAAATGCCCGCTTTCTTTGATCAATTCCATCACTGATTTAAGGAAATATACAGACACATTTTCTTTACAACAGAGCAGCTAAACGTAAACAATATCATATTAGATCATTAGCTTATAAAGTTGTTCAATGAACATAATTTGGTCTTACGAGTCATGAAAAAACCTTTGATCTCACGTGAACTCAACCCTAATGATATAATATAGTTAGCTGAAATATTTGCAAGGTAATCTATAAATTACTTGTTAGAAAGTTATATTTCATTGGACATTACAGTATAATGAAGGATAAAATGGTAATTTTTATCATTCAACTTGTCCATCCATAACATTTGCTAGCAGAGTCATGTTTTTTCTTCCACTAAATCACATAGAGTAACTTAATCATTTTATATCAAACCATTAAGCATATGTCAAACAGCCTTCACTACTAGAAAACCAGGTATCAGTGACGAATATCAGCGAGGGAAAGTTTCCCTCGCAGATCAGCGAGGGATCAGTGAGGGAAATGCCAAAAAAACTCATTCCCTCGCCGATCCCTCGCAAATCAGCGAGGGAATTGCCAAAATTCACATTCCCTCGCTGATCCCTCGCTGATTTGCGAGGGAAATTTTTTCTGCAAATTCCCTCGCTGATCCCTCGCAAATCAGC